ATAAACAAGTCATATGACCCAAAGTGGTCACATGCACGAAACCCATAACCTCATAACAAGGTCATATGCAAAATATAAATCATATGTGTCAGGCATACCTGCAATGCATACTTGCAAGCCACACTCACTAGGCGCATGTCTCATGACTCATACTTAAGTCATGTGTGAAATATAACAAATCATAATATACGAAATAATATGACATGAATGAGTCATATGTGCAAAGCAATAACATACTGTAATGATTCCTCCTTGGATAGTTAGTTCTTGGCGATGGAGAACTATACTTCTCTTTTGTATTTTTTTCTTTAATCTTACAATAGTGCTAGGCCTCTGCCTACGTTACCGATAGTACAAGACCTTTGTCTTCTATCGGAAATGCCTATTGTAAGCTTCCTCTAACTCTTCTTCATGAAGAGCTTTCCTTGGCGTAATGATAACGTTGCGATAAAGATAAAAATCTTAAAAGTATTTTATATTCATTAAAGTAATAAGTAGGAAAAGTACTTAGAATTCAATTTAATTTTATTAAAACTCGTACCACCAACACTGGCATACGACGAGCCCCCGCCGGCACAGGGATACCGCTAACCAGTATACCACTAATCCTAAGCTAACTAAGTCTACGACCCCGCACCTACCATCCCTAAGTCATGCCCGTATGGAAACTAATTACAAGACCATCAAACAACCCAGCACCCGCCCCGGTCCAAGTCTATGGCCCCTCTGGTATGAAGCCAACCAGTGCTAAGCATAGCCGAAGCCAAGCAAAAGACCGACGCGACCAGGTTCCTGGTCCAACAAACATAAAACACTACAACCCGGTCTAAATACCATCCCAAATACCTCCACCACTGTAGAAAACAAAACAAAACACACAAACTAAACCTACAAGCGACACAATGGCAGGGAGGAGGCAACTAACATGTCAACCTCTCGTACCAGCATGCCAGCCCGTCGACCCTGTGAACCTACTTTACCAGTTACCTCCGAGGAACATACAGGAGAGGAGGACTTGTACCTACTGCCTGTCCCCCAAACAAAATACTATAAACAAAGGAAATACATAGAAGTAGTAATAGACCAAAAAAGGTCAGTGGAGCCTATCTCCCACCTGTGGTGCCATGCCTCCTCCTACCAACCCCATAGCCAAACCAAAGAAACCAAACAAACCCCACAAAAGTTCAGCATGCAAGACCCAAACAAGTCCAACCAGGTGGTCACAACCCACTAACCGCACAGGTAGCCATAAGCTAGCAGGTCCATCAGAGACCTTACAGCACTCAGCAACTTCACCCAACAGCCCAAGCCAGACTGGAAACACTTAATTAGACCTCGCCCAACCTGACGCAGACCCGACCGGTACTTGCAGGTGCCTCTCCCTCCCCAATCAGCCCCCCCCAAGCCCCACGCACCAGACGCCACAGAGTCCATCCAGCCCGCCCAGCTCCTCAGACAGATCGACTATCCGATAGCCACAGGACAGTTCATACCTAGCCCCATCAGGTAGCCACTGGTCTTGGCCACACCAACAGAGCCCTGACCTACGGTATTTCGCAGCCGAGGGGGCCTACCAGCCACAGCTGGGAGCCACAAGGGAGAAAGCACCAATACTCAAAGGCAACAGCACCAGCCACACCATCCAACCCAGCCAAACCGAAGTCCAACCAATGCGGAAAAGAGTAGGCAGAGCCAGCCAAAGCCAGCCCCACAGGTCCAGCAATAAGCACAGACCGAACGACAAGCAAGAGGCAACCCCAACTGATGCAACAAGATGGGGGAGGGCAAGTGAACAGGAGTAGACAAACAGAAGGTAGGCCCCACTTGCAATGTGTGAAGCCGCCAACCACAGTCCACAACCGAACTACCCAAACACACAAACAACACAAGTGTCTGGCAGCCAATCGTCCCACACCACTCCAGGCAGAAATGAAAAACCACACCAGGGGGTAAGATTTTTCAGGGTCAACGCCATCCCCACTGAGGTGAGAAGGAGACACCTAACTGAATCACCGTAAATGCTGCAAGGACAGAAACTCTAAGGGAACAGTAATAAACAACATCGTAAGATTCTGACCGTAGAAATGAAAACATAATGAGGAGGGACTGGGCGGGCACCGCCCTGCCACCTCAGGAATGATGTGCCCAGTACGATCAGTTGAAGCTTGGGAAGGTCATCAGTCTAACCTAAGGACGTTTTGTATCGTGAGTACTAAGGATTCCGTTAAAACCCAACAAGAAACATGAGCTGGCCCAGAGAATAACATGGATGATCACCCTAAATACAATGTTCAATCCCCCTAATCGAACGCGAAACCTGTGAGTAGATGATAGACAAGAAGCCAAAGACATTTTATCGAAAGAGGCTCGTAAGCGACTGTGATGAATAGCTCGAAGTGCCAGCATCGTGAGATAACTAGCAGGCAACAAAACGAGAAGCAAACAAGTAATCCACCACGCAACACCTAACAAACCTCAACACCAAGAATCCCAGAAACTACTGAGCGAACTCAGATATCTCCCCCAGAATCCAAGGTATCAAGGTCCATTGTGTGTATGAAAGAATTGCTCGGGACGAAGCAACGGCAAGGATGAGGAAAAGTACTTAGAACGAAGAGTGAAGAACCTATCCTCCTCGGCCATATTGGCCTCCTTATATAGTGTTCTTCCCACCCATAGTCATGTGGCCCAAAGTGGTCACATGTGCGAAACCAAATCATAACAAACCAATCATGTGATCACAGTAGTCACATGCTTAAAACCCATGACCTCGTAGCAAGGTCATGTGCAAAAACTCATAAACCAATCATAACACAATAAACAAGTCATATAACTCGACTGAGTCACATGCGTGAAACCCATGACCTCATAACGAGGTCATGTGCGAAACATAAATCCTATACGCAAGGCATACCCACAAGGCATACTCGCAAGGTATACTCACCAGGTGCAAGTCTCATGACTCATATTTGAGCCATGTGCGAAAGCATCACAAATCCCACACATAACAAATCATAAGACTCGAATGAGTCATATGTGTGAAACAATAACATACCTGTGACTCATAACTATGTATCATGTGAAAACCTTTTCCGTGCTAAGCCATGTTCGTGACACTTACCTATAACTCATGATCATAAGACATGTGAAAAACCTTTTCCTCGCTAAGCCACATTTGTGACACCCCCTTACAAGGCCCCCACATCATCATACATATCAATCTCAGTTGAGTCCTGTCACTATAATGCCACAGAATTAAAGGTGTCAGAATAATACCGTATACATCACCGCTGTCCATCTGACTGGGTTTTGTTCACAGGATATATGTGAGGGAACCTTCAGCTAGGTCTGGAAAGTAGAACGGAGTGAATCCGTCAACTACGCAGAGAGTTACTAGTCTTCAAAAATGTAATTTCTTTGGCAAAGATGTTAGGTAACAGGATCTTTTCACATAAAGAGATGGTATCGAATGATAAAGGATCTCAACAAGAGACCAATACATTCACATCTACTCTACAATAACCAGAAGAGTCTAAAACTCTGAGAAACACTACCATAGAAGCCAATGGACTTCACAGAGTGTTACAACTAGGTTTCGAAACATGTTGTAGATGTGGAGGTCACTCCCCATACTACAACAGCGATCGAAGCCCTGTTATCCAGGGCAAATAAAGGTTGCTGACTGAGAGATTATTTTCCAATTCGGTGGAATAACTTCTTGTGAATTAGTAGAAAGTCCCCCGAAAATATCTGTTAGTCAGGTAGGGAGTTATGAAGGTTTGAAGTCAGGTGACCTGAAAAGGTTGTAATGACAACTACCTTCGCAGATATAACCCGCAGATGAAACTGATCATTTCATCAATGATGGAGACAATTGGGGCCAACTCAGTTCAACTTGAGAACTAGGCCTTAAGTCTAAATACTCTTATAATCGGGTAATTACTATTGAGAACAGCACGGTTCTTAGATAGTTATATCATAATTACCCAAGAGGGTGTGGTGATTTTCAGGGTCTCCAGGTGTTCGCACCTTTGAAGAATACCCGACGTTGTGAGATCTAATCAGAGAGGTACATAGTTGTATAATAATATAGATGTAGTCCATAAACACTCAGATGTGGAATATAAATATCGAAATGTCTTCCAAGCTTTAGACATCAACAAATAACGGAGAAGAGACCCTAACAATATAATATTGTTTTTACAATTCTATCTTACTTTACCATTTTTACTTCACCCCCAGTAGTCATAAACGAAATGAGTGAATCTGAACCTTCCTAGACAATCTCTGTCTAGCGAAACGAATCTTGGTTGGCCTAGACAACTCTGGAGTCTATGAGGTTGTCTCCACCTAACATTAACTACCTGAGCACCTCTTCCCCACCCCAAAACTAGCATCCCCTCAATCTATACTCAAGTACGTTGTGAATGTTGAAAGTCTGAGGGAGAAGATATGGATAGTCAGAAATTGCCAGAACTTGGAAAATATAGATTAGACTGTACTACTAGCAACTAATACTCCTACTGTAACTCGAGTAACATGGTTAGCTAGCCGTCGAATCTCACATCTCCTACCTATACAAGTAACCAGTTACTTAGCACCTCCCCAACCTAGGCCTTGTTTGGCACACTACCGTAGTATCGTATTATGAAAAACTCCCATTGTCTCCATCTTTTGCGAACTCTTTGACTACGGTAGAGAGCATAGGGGAAAAGAAATAAAAAAAACCATATCCGAAGTGAAATTTATCACCTTACCGGCCACTATGACGAGAACCAAGATCTCTTGAGACAGCTGCATACAAGGTTGAGCCATGCCAAAAACGGGGGGCGAAAAAAATGCCCTTTTTTTTTTCTTTCTGGCGTGTCAAATAGAGCCATATTACAGTATTATAAAAATTTAATAATGCCATTTTTCTCACCGACTTAATTTTTGCTATCATGAAGCTCGAACTCTCTCCCTTTAACCAAAGTGCACATATCATACCGGTAGCAGTTACCCTAAAAAAGAAAACTCCAACAGAATTGTTTTCATACCAATCTCTACCGTTTATTCCCTCTCCCCAAAATATGCCTATGATATAAACGCTTTCCTTCCCCCTATTTCCTTTCCATCCCTTACCCTGCCTACCCTGCCCCCCCCCTATGGGTTGATTAATCCGGTATCATACTAGAATGACCCCAAAACTATGGAAAAATTAATAACTTTTAACGAGTGCTTTCTAGAGAAAAAAAAACAGACCCAAAACCAATCCGAACAAATTTTTTCAAAAGAAAAAAATCTAAAATAAAAATAAAAATAAAAGCAGTGTAACGCCCTATGAACCCATTTTAAAGGGGGGGAAAGGGGGAAGGTGGAAAAAGAAAAAAAAGGAAAAAAAAGGAAAAACACAATCCAAAAAAGTAGACGGGAAGAAAGTATTGACGCGGTGTCATGCGGGAACCCACCCCATGCCATCCATACTCCGCCCTCCAGGATCCACCCCCAAATATACAATCTAATCCAACACCCAATATTCACAAGTAAAAGGCATGTACAAGAACTCCCCTATTTTTGCCTCCTCAGAATGCACGTGAACAACCACAGTCAGAGAGACCAGTGGAAGAGAGGAGATTAATCACCACCAATGCAACAAGCGGAAGACATTGTAGAAGAAACCGCCCGATTCAACGCTGTAATATCTCTCGGGTTCTCGGACATGGTTTTTCAACTGCTCCGCTTCTGCACCAGCCGGGACATCGTTGGCTAGATCCCAAGTCTTGCTTTTGGTGTTCCACCGGTGACTGTTTGGGGCGTAGTGTTAACGGACTTTTCGGAATAATACTTGGGCGGGGCTTGGAGGAACGGAGTAAGCATACCCTTCGTACTCGGTCACAACCAACGCTTTCGCCCTGTACTCCGTGATGAGAATTTCGTCGAAGCTGTAGGGAATCTTCGCGGGAACACCTTCGAATGTGGTGTCGCGGAGTGGCCAAATATCATTGACCTGTAGCAACCCAATTAGCCGTGCGAATTTGGTGGCTTGGTGAGGACCGAGGGGGGGGCAGGGAAATGCGCAAGCTTCCCCTCCCGTCGCCCTCAATTAGTGTTTCGGGCGCTTACGTGGTAGCGGTGATAATTCTTGCAATTGAGGATGTCAGGCATCGAGTCAGGCTGGGTTTCCGCGATGCCGGTGATATCAATGTACAATCCGTTTCGGACATCGACCCATCTCGCGTCAATAACATTCATTCCATCGCCCCTAACCCTTTGCCAGATCCACGGATTCACATCGAGTAGGTATTCACGCTCCACTAGGCCATCCTCCGAAACGTATTTGTGCCGGGTCATGTTATATTCGTTGCCGATCATGGTCAGCGTGTCAGCGGACATCTGGACATCGAGATCCCAATCCCACGGAAGAATCTATCATGACTTTAGCCGGCGATTCCTTCACTGGGGCCTCGGGTACCGACTTGACCGTTCCACCACCATCCCAGGAGTGTGCCATGAGCTATCCATGTTTCGATCCCCTCCTTAGCTGTTGTGAGCAGCCATGCTCGCACCATATGCTTAAGTGTATCCAGTCGTGCATCGTAGTCGACAATCTCGGAAAAGAATCTACGGTTGGATTTAGCCTCCCTGACCTGGAACAGGGCTTGGGTTGCCGCGTGAGCCTACCTCTCATCGTAATGCCCCGTCAAGTCGGTGTTCCTGTTAAACCAGACGTTAGTCACATCTGTGGGGGGCAACCCCAAAGCGTGGGTATTCGGATAGCGAGGCAACTAACCCAGGTTCATCTAACGCCGGACGAAATGTCAGTCAGTATCTTGATGACAGAAAAAAAGAAAAAAAAAGAAAAAACTCACGAAAGTACTTCGTATCTTCGGGCTCCCGACGAGGCTTCTTGGGAGATACCGGACGAGGTAGCTTTCCACCACCCCCGTCCCTCGGTATCACAGCAGCCGAGCTCACCACTGAAGCCAATGCAACCAGGCCAAGGAGAGCTTTTCGCAGCTGCATATTTTGCAGTGTGTATCGGCGTTGCCCTAGCTCCTTTTTTGTGTAGGTGTTTGCAGGCTAAAGTTTCTCGGCCCCTCCCCCTTTCCAAGGGTCGAAGCTCTAACGGCCCGGCCCACCCTCCCTCCTCCTCTAAGTGCCGATACGGGCACCTCAATGTCCAGTGAGGACCAAAAACAAACAACCAAAAGCCAGAGCAACGAGTTGAGCCAGCGAGAGAGGCTGTCAGCTCGGTAGATAAGGTGTGCGAAAGAAGGCGGCTGTCCTTCTGGGGGTGGGGTTGCTCGTGTGGGAGCTCTAGCTAGCTTACCGGTATTGTGATGCGGGTTGTCGGGGAAGGCTTTCGATGAAGGGAAAGGGTGGGCTAATGGTGTTGTGTATATATATATATATCCCTCTTTTTTTAAAAAGAAAAAAAAAGAAAAAAAAAAGTGTGTGGGTAGCAGACGTTCTGTCGTGTGCTCTTTCCTTCAATTGGGTACGATGTTGGGGGAAAAGCTGGGCGCTGATATTAATCTAGATTCATAATAATAAGTGACAGACAGCTCCTGGCCGCTCAAATGGGATGCAATCGGCAAGGGAAAGAAAGGAAAGGAAGGAAGAAGGGCGAAGCCGAAATGGACAGGAAAAGCCAAAAGCAACGAGAACCAAGAGAGTGCGAGAAGCTATAGAAGATAAAAGTAATCAATGGAACAGCGTAGGGATGCACTGCGGTGCTGGTGGATGGTGAACGAAGGCGAATCCAATGAAGAGACAGTCAGGGGGGTACGAGTAAGTTAAATAGGTTGCCTAGACTAATGCTACTGCCAGTGTACTGTACAGTACTCGTACTCGTGGCGATACAGTAGTCTAACGTTAGCTTGTTGCAAGTTGCAACGGCAACGGGTCACACAAGTCAGGAGATGGAGAATTCTTCTGGTGAGGCACACAGTACGAGTAAACAGCACGGAGCTCGAGCAGTGACCGTTTCCCACCCCAGCCCGCGCGCTGCAACAAGCAAAGATGGTGCGCCAAGTTCTTCACGAACCCGCGAAGGGGATCGGCCAGGGGCGGGGGGTGCCGGTACGAGTACACCAGCACCTGGCACCCTGATAGTTACCGGTACTTGGATGCGCTCAGTAGGAGTACTCTAAGAGTAAATCGGAATCCAAAAGGAGATTTCCGAGTCCAAGAGAGATTTAGCTGCACGAGTACCGGTACCGGTACTCGGGTGCAGTGCATGGAGCCCACACAAGTGCAAAAGCGAAACGAGGCAGCTCTAGACCCGCACCGCGCTCTCTCCTCTTCCCTTGTCCATGCTGTTACCGGTGTTTCCAATGCTGTACGAGTACTCGTACTGTACAGTACTCGAGTATCAGTGCTCGGGAACACTCGCGTAGCATCAGTGCAGCATCACCAAGGAGCGGGTGCTCGCAACTCGCCTTTCCACCACCCTGCCACTTCTGCACAGCGCAACCGTGAGGTAACAAAATTCCCGGCTTGATGACGACAGCAAGATATGCGGAAGGCTTTCACTTATCCCCCGATCCGTTGGAGCGCCCGAGAGATCGGTGGAATACTTGTAGGTGGGTCCCCTCTTTGGAAGGCCGTTAACGGTATAATTTATTTCCTGTTCGGGAAGGGCACTTTCCAGATCCCGCTATCCCCTCCACCAGATCTCTTGGGCCCTACTCGAGCACTCGTATCTTACCCGACGAGCCATGCGATGCAAAGGAGCGGCAGGCCCGAGCGGGCTTGCGACCTCCAAAGAGTAAATGTTTAGAGAGGGTTGTGCCTGTGAGTTACACGTGTGCTTGCCAACCACGGAGTGTGACCTCTTGGCCCTTTTATATCAGCCAATCAGTGCCCTGCATATACCCTATTCAAACCCCTCAAGGTTCCATTAAATTCCAGGAAGATTCGCACCAAGAAATAATCGCACCCGGCGGGTACTCGAGTACAGTATATCTCGCACCGGCAAAGGAGTGCATGTATGATGCCGGCATGCGCAGAGCTTTTCACCGTGTACGAGTACTCGAGTGTTTCCCTTATCCCTGGTTTCGGGTACCGGCACAGTACTTGTCCTGGTCAGTTATGATATTATACATCTTGCCCGGGACGGAATTCTTTGCGATGAAAATATTGCTCAGCCCGATGGGAATTGGAGCCCCATCAGATGGTGGGGTGGGTCATCCTCCGACTCATTGACCGGGGGAAAAATGGGGACAAAGATGTCTCGGGTTCCATTGAGATGCCCAGGTTTGGGAGTGGGTCAAACTTTTGGTAGGGGTTGGGGAATGTTCAGGATATGTTGATAATTCACCGGAAATAAAAACGCTATCATACAAGTATCATAATAATTATTATCATAATAGATATTTGCCAAAGAATTTGCCCTCAATGGGGCTAAGTTTGGAAGGTTAACACACTACTCGAGTACTGTACAGCATTATTACCAAGCCAGAATGAAATGCCCGGCTGTTCCGGCTACAAGGGTCCCCTCACCACAAGGGTACCCGTATCATATCATAACTGAAGCAACATCAAACCTCCTCCCCCCCCCCTATCCTGGTCGTCAATCACACGGCTGAAAAGGGATGGAAAATGAGGGGTAAGGCAGAAGGGCAACGTCTCCCTCGAGGGGCGTCCATGCCTGTTACAGCTTGTCCGTAGTATGATACCGTAACTCAGTGAGCTGCGAAACTTTGGTACTGTACCGGTACAGTACAAGTACAGTGCTTGCTCTCGGACATTCGCAACAAGCTTCTCTTCCGCTACTTTCCTGACCCCGCTTTTCACCTTCCTGTTTGGGAAGGTGGTGGCGGTCGTCAACACCATGCTCTACCACCTCACGATCCCCTCTCCAGTGCTGAACTTTGGAAGCTTCATAAGCCTGGACACCAAACCTCATCATGAGGCTAAATGAAATTTTCACCCCCTCTAGTATGGGACTTTGGGTTCCTCTGCCAGATTATGGTTCCTGTCCTCCCCCTTCCTCCATGGTGGCCACCTTGGCTAAGCTATGTGAGGTTGTAACCACACCTCTGCCTCTCTGAGTTCTTTTACTCAGTTGGGTTTACTACTTTACCAATGTCTGGGTTACTCGGCAACACATGGTTGGTATTGCACTATCTCCAGTCATGCCCCTGTCTGACCAGCCATAAGCGATCACTCCACTGAGAGCTGGCACATCCAGGTTGGTTGCCTTCATCACACAAAGCGAATGCATCATGGTTCTCCCTTTTATTCCTAACTACTAGCCAAGGCTAGACCAGTTGAAAAATGGGGAATGTGGTTTATCAAGGTGGTTTCCTTTGTTGGGTGTAACGATCCCTCTTTGGATAGTTAGTGCTTGGCGACGGGGAACGATACTTCTCTTCCTGTCTTTTTCTTCCTTTATCTTATGATAGCTCTAGGCCTCTTCCTACGTTACCGATAGTACAAGACCCTTGTCTTCTATCGAGACCGCCTATCGTAAGCTTTCTCTAACTCTTCTTCGTAAAGCGCCTTCCTTAACGTAACGATAATGTTGCAATAAAGATAAAGATCGTAAAGGTATCTTATATTCGTTAAAGTAATAAATAGGAAAAGTACTTAGAACAAAGCGTGAAGAACCTATCTTCCTCGGCCGCATCGGCCTCCTTATATAGTGTTCTTCCCGCCTTTTAGTCATGTGACCTAAAGTGGTCACATGTGCGAAACTAAATCATAACAAACTAGTCATATGACCCAAGTGATCACATGCTCAAAACCCATGACCTCATAGCGAGGTCATGTGCGAAACTCATAAACCAATCATAACGCAATAATCAAGTCATGTGACTCGACTGAGTCATATGCACGAAACCCATGACATCATAATGAGGTCATGTGCGAAACATAAATCATATGCGCAAGGCTTACCCGTAAGGCACACTCGTAAGGCATACTCGTCAGGCGCATGTCCCATGACTCATACTTGAGCCATGTGCGAAAGCATCACAAATCCCACACATAACTAATCATATAACCCGAATAGGTCATATGCGTGAAAGAATAACATACCTGTAACTCATAACCATGTGTCACGTGAAAACCCTTTTCTCGCTAAGCCACGTTCGTGACATTAGCTCCCCTCCTCCTAAGCCTGATTCCCATCAGGCTTTTTCTCCCTGTTTCAATAGTTCTCGTCCTGCCAAGCGCATGGTCCTTCTCAGCTTGTGGAACTTTTCGTCTGCCATCCTCCATCTGACCCTTACCGATTCCAGTGTCAGATTCACCATCTCGATCGTTTGCCGCTGATTGTCGTTCAGCTGTCTAAGCTCCGCGATCGTTTTGTCGTTTGCCGAAATTGTGGCCTCGGCTGGGCCCAGTTGTTCTCGGAGTCCCTAGATCTGCCTGTGTAGGCTCCTGACATCCGGTTCCGTGTCTGCCGAGGAATTTTGGGCCCCTCCCTCCTTGGACCGCGTCCTCGTGGCCCATGCCTTTCTGGCATCTTCTCCTTCCAACTCTTTTTGGCTTCCATCCTTCTGCGGGTAGAATCCCGCAGATATTTTTTGTGCCCTGTGCATCCTGCACCCATTTCTGAAGCATTGTTGCCAATGCTTCAGGACGTGGTCTGGGCATGGGTCACGCTTTCGACATTCCCTCGGGAACCATCCCAAGCCTTCATTATCGCCCAAGTGTGTTTGGCAACCGTCATCGTAGCATACCGTCCATAACATGGCGTTATGCTGTGCTTGTCTTTCCCTTTCCTTGAGTTCTTCATTGGTTGGCCCCATGAATGAGTATTCGGGACTAGTGGGTGTGGTTTGGCGGGGGCTATCGCCCCAGCCCTCATGTTGCTGCAATGGCGTAGGAGTCTTTCCCTTTCCTTTGTCTTGGTTGAACATGATCGTCACCTGGGCCGGGCTTGCCTGGGTATCGCTGGTGGAAGGTTGAGATGGCATCTTGTGCGTTTTCAAAGTTGTGTGCGAAGTACCAAGTTTTATCGTATTCAGGAGAATATCCTGTCCACTTGGCTCAGTATTGGAGGTGACCGTGGAAGAAGCGGGAATCGACTATTTCGTCGAGCTCGTATTCTGGTTCTCCATCAGGTTCGATCGGAGGGGGAGGAATAAGTGTTTGTGAAGGAAACTTGTTGTCGTTGTGTAGTTCGAGGAGTGAGATTTGGAATGTATTGTGTATTCGCATTGAGGAGGGAAGGTCGAGTTTATAAGCTTGGCTGCCCACTTTTTCCAGTATCCGGAATGGTCCTATTTTCTTGTAGTCCAATTTCTTTGATGGTCGCGTTGTATGAATATTGCGTGGTGTTAGCCATACCATATCTCCTGGTCGTATGTTCGGATCTGGTCTTCGGTGCTTATCGTATTGTTCCTTCTGTCGTTGTTGTGCTTGACTCATTTCGTATTGTAATGTTTCGTGTAGTTTCCCCATATCGGTTTTATCCGGTATTACATCATTAATCGTATGATATGTGGTCTGACTTTGTGGATGTTGTCCGTAATTTGCGAAGAAGGGTGTCGTGCCAATTGTTTCTTGCTTTCCATTGTTGTATACGAATTCGGCCATAGATAACAGCTTGTACCAATCATCTTGCTGATAGTTGACATAGGCCCTTAAATATTGTTCAAGTATCGCATTTACCCATTCCGTTTGTCCATCTGTTTGTGGGTGGAACGCTGTGCTCATTCTGTTTTGTATCCCCATTTCTCCAAT